CTTGTGACCTCATATGCTCATACGGTCAGCTGATTCTCTGTCATGCATCACTGTGAATGTCCTTTAATTATCTGGCAGCACTAGTCATTAGTAAACAGACCCTAATCATGATTGTACTAATGCACTGCTGAATGCTTGATTCTGATTGGCTCATTCTAAAGTGTTTAGTTGTTGCCTGATTAATCCACAGCTAAAGTAGTTCCGGCAGGTTTTGAGCGCATTACAGCTTCATATCACAATGATAAGAGTGATTTCACAGCTGAATCAGTCAGAAATCACACCAGAACACAACAGAAGGAGGAGGAGATGTGGAGGAAACTAGTGCTACACACTGGAGACGCACCTGACTAACACACTCTTAGATACAACATCTCAACAGGCGATTAAGCAGTGGTGCTGGAGACCTGAGGATATGCTGAATAATGCACTCCAGTCTGTTAGTTAATTATTAGACAATAATTAAGCACACCTGAGTAACAATGTTTGTCACTGAAATCAAAATTGTCAATTCAGAAATGTAAATAAACAGTTAAGCAAGAAACTGTTAATTAGCATATCTTATCTGCTCTCTAAAATGTAAACAAATATGAAAAAAATATTAAATATATATATATAAGGGAAACATAATAATGCACTACATTCTAGTGAATCATTATCTAATATTGCTGACTGCAGTTGTAAAACAGTCATTCCGTTTCAACACATCAGTGCATTATTAATTAATTATTTAATTCATTCATTAATTAATTAATTAATTCATTCATTCATTCATTCATTCATTTTCTTTTCGGCTTAGTCCCTTTACTAATCAGGGGTCGCCAACTTATCCAACTTAGGGAACCGCCAACTTATCCAACTTATGTTTTATGCAGCCGATGCCCTTTCAGTCGCAACCCAACACTGGGAAACAACCACACACTCTTACACACACTCGCATATGGTATGGCCAATTTAGCTTGTTCAATTCACTTGTATTGCATGTGTTTGAACCGTGGGGGAAACCGGAACACCCAGAGGAAACCCAAGCCAACACAGGCGGAACATGCAAACTGTCTTTAATTCAAGCCAAACCTTACTATGGAATGAGGAAGAAACTGAAGAAAACCTTGAATTAAAAATCCTCTGAGCACTGCAACCTCTTTGCATACTCCATGAA